TGCTACTGTAGAGGAAACTTTCCCCTCTGGCCTTCCTGGGATCTGTAAAGCCTCAGAGCATGAACTCTAGTCTTTGTGGGCTTCTCTGCTACACTTTGGTTCCCTGCTGTGTGCAGACTGTGGCCCAAACTTGAAGAAATTCTCATTCCTTATGGCCTGGCTTTTCTTCTCCAATAAGCAAACTTCTGTTGAAACATCTGACCATTTCACTCCAACTTTAGAGCTTTCTGCTGAAAGACACAGGAATGGGCAATACCCCCGCAGTTTCAGCACAGCACACAAATGTACACTTAATTTTAGTAGTATTTTTTGCCATGTGAAGTCACTGGTATTCTTCAGAAGCTAAGCTTAAACATGTGCTTTGTGCTTCTGATTGGATTGGGGACCGAGGACAGAACTCATTTTCTTGTCAGCTTTGAACCAAACAATTGCTGGGGACGAAAAAAACATCTAGTAAGAGCTAATGAATACAAATCTTAAGCAGCAAAGCTATTTCTCCTGCAGGCTGAGGCAAACAAATATGTAAGAAGAATACAGAAGAAAAGGGAATGGCTGAATTATTCTTAATAAATACAAGCAGCAGTCAAAGGCATAAACCCTCTGGTGATAATTTTGAATATATGCTATTGCTGTGCCAGCATTTATGTTTCTCAGAGTAAAAAAGGATGCTGCTGCAGAGGTTTTTTTCACTAACATCCCAAGCGCACCAGTACTTCACTTAAATCAGCATTCGCTATCAATACCGTGGCTTCACTGCTTCAGTTGCACAATCTGACCATAACTGATTGCTTGCAGTTATTTGAAATGCAGCTTTTCTGCTGGCAATTACTTTATTTACTGCTTGCCTGTAAAACAATAATGCTTTCCCTCATGGGCATAAAGGCAGATTAACATCAGTAATCACTAAAGCAGATGTTTGTATGCGAATACCCATTTCTTAGAGGCAGATTATCTTCTGCATTGGCGTAAGGGAAAGGGATTCAAATCTGGCGATGCTGTCATCCCACAAGTGGTGTGAGCAGCATGGGGTAGCTCTCCCCAGCTCACCTCCATCTCACAGGAATCACTCTCTGCAGTGTTATAATTGTTGACCTTATTGAAATCAGTCCTGAGGGTTGTTTGGCATTTAATTCCTAAAAGTGACTGCCAGTGACTGAACAGGGCTAAGTGCTACTTGCACTTGCTTCCTCTGTTTTTTTTTTCTCTGTTCCCAAGAAATCTAGGGCTGTGCTTTCGAGAGCTCAACACCTAGATTCAGGGTGTTTCCTAATAACTGTACCCACTCAATTGCCTGAAAAGTGCACTCAGCACTAAGTGCTAAGCTTATTTAATGTAGACAGTCATTAGCTCCTTCCAGGCTACTGGGAAGAGCAAAGGAAGCATGGTTGTGACTCACAGGGACTGGAGGGAGGATCTTTACTGATCCGGTTGTACTGCCAGAACTGAAATATGTTCAGAGCAGCCCTTTGGTGCTTTTGAAGCCTGTCCTGGCACATGGTGGTTTTCAGCTGAAGTCTATCCAGAAAAGCCACCCCTGGCTGCTTGTGGGGAGAGCTTGCCAGCATGTGAAGGCGTGTGTACACACAGAAGAGATGTGGTTCTGGTCCTAGTTCCCTGGGGACTTTCAAATCAGCTGCCTAGATATCAGAGACCTGCCTTTTGAACCTGAGAGCAAAGGTAGGGCCCTGGTTTTCCTTGTGTGGACACATCATGGCATCGCCTCCATTCCTCTCCTGAAAAAAAATGTTTCTGCATGCCAGAGCAGGGAGTGGACAGAGGTGGACGTAAGGCTTGAAGGAAGGTAGAGGCTCCCTACTTCTCCCACCATGACTGAATGTAAGCTGGTATGGGATGGGTTCATTTCCATAAGTAGAGGGCACTCTTCAACAGCAGTGAAACAGCCTTGCCTTTGGTATTGAATCACTCTCAGCCCCGTCTCATAAACTGCTGACTATCTTGCTTAAGAGGGTTTCAGCCTTCGAAAGCAATCCTTTTAAGAAACGCCTCCCTTCCATCGCCTTGTGTTAGTTGCACAGCACGGTGGGAGGAGAAGGGGGGAACCATGTCAGTACCCCCACCCTTTGCTGCTCTAGGTTCACGTAGCGGGATGCAAAGCGTAGATTTGGCCTGCTGCCCCTCAGTTAAGAGGAATTGAAACCAGATGTTTAGTGTTCGATCATGCTTTTCCCATTGTTCCTGCCTCTATCACAGTAATTACTCTCTCTTGAGGGTCATTCAGAGTTCAGGTCGGTGGAGAAACTGTTATTCTTGATTAAGGGACTAGCTGTTTTTTCAAACGTCGTTGTCTAATTGTACTTTGAAAGACATGTCACAGTATTCCAGAGCTTCGCAGTTAGCTACCAAGTAGAGACATCTGTAATTGTTCCTTTGGATGTTAAAAGAGAGATGAGGGATGTCAAGAGCAAGGGCAAGGAATGTAGCAGTTATCTGGAGAAACGAGTGTGCCTGGTAACATAAAAAGCTCACCAGTCCTGAGTGAAATTGAACCATAGACAAAAAGGTGAAAAATATATTGGATATATATATATATGAAAATATATTGGATATTGCACAAATGTTGAACCAACCCTGTAAGAAGACACTAAACCTCTCCTTTTTCTGGTTATACTGATAGCACACAGTATCACAAACCTCTGCAATGTTATCATGAGTCCCCTGCTGCTTGGTGTATCCCTTAAATTACCGTCTCCTTTGGTCATCTGGCTATTTTAGAATTTCTGGTTTTAGTTATATTTTACAAAAAGCGCCTCATAGAGAAAAATAGTTGTGCCCTTCAGAAACAAAATGGCAAAATGCAGTTTTACTTCATGAACCAGGTCCCCTTTATTCATCAATTGTAGACTGTCATTTTTTTGTCAAGCCTTTTTTTTTTCCTCAAAATTGCTTTGGTTCAAGTCCTGATTTTGTGAGGTTTGGACTGGCATAGTCATCAAAACTGAGTGAAGTGTTGATGACCAAGGAAGAGGACAACATGACACTGACCACCATGCAACTCCTTTCAGCCATTTAAAAAAGCTGTCAGGCATCCACCAGGTCTCCAGATACCCAAACGATGCATCACTGGACATGGCATCACATTTTCCAATAAATTTATATTTACAGGGAATTTTGATATTGGTGCTTGAGGCCCATCAGTGCTCAGGACCTCTAGTGCCTGCTAAGTCACTTGGCACAAAGGGGCCAAGCTGACTACTAAGCTGCAAATCCAGCAGACTCCTTTGCTTGGGTTGACATGTACCTGGGGAGAAGATTGTAAGTGGGGACCATCAGTGACCTTAAGTATCACGGTGATATGATGTCAAAGTGCCCAGTGCACTTTTTTTTTTTGAAAAAGCATGGCGTGGCAGACTGGGCACTGCTGCTGCTGCTGGCAATGGGATGGCTCTCCCCTAACATGCGGTGCTTGTGGCCCGTGAGCTGGTCTTTGAGACCTCTCCCCCTCTCAAACTGAATGTAACCTTTGCCTCTAGGTTCAAAAGTTGGTGGTGTGAGCAGGAGGGCAGAGAATGTTTCTGGAAAGCCTGTCTGCAGCATGTGGGAAGGCGTTGGGAATTATTCCTTGGAAAATGTTCTTTTGCCTCGGCTGCAGCTTGGGGAAGCTGTAGGCAGTGGTTTGATGAGGATGAAACTTTTGGTTGAAACTCCATAGAGACAATTCCCCACCTGTGAGGAGCCAGTACACAGGGAGAGAAGAAAACCAGGCTGAAGGCTCTGCTTCGTAAAACTTGAGACGGAAACTTTTCCACATCTGTGCCCAGGCTGTCACCTCTCTGGGAGCAAGATGGTCCCTGTCTTGGAGGCGATGATCTGCCTAAGGAGGAGGAGGAACCTTCTCTCTGCAAAAGGTGTCGCCAACCCTCACATTACTGAAGCAAGTCTCCTCTGCTTCCTCAGCCTTTTCTGCTGGAGTGGCTTTGTGGCATCCATTATTCATTGGGCCAGGGACAGTCTGGCATGTGAAAAGAAACTGAAACCCTGGGTGAGGGCTGGAGGCAGAACAGGGCCGGCTGAATGGGCTTGCTGTGGTGTCAAAGCAGAGGCAAGAGGGAACGCAGCTGTGTCATCCTCTACCTTGCATGATGTCCACTTGCAGAAATAACCATGAGATCACCAGGACTGTACCAAGAGCTGACTTGCTGCCTGCCACTGTGAGTTTAAGCCACATTGCATAACTTAACTCCAATGAGGTGACCTGAGCAGGGCTAAGACTTTGCTTGCTTGTTTGCCTGCAAGGTCAAAACTCCCCGAGTCCCAAAGGTGCTGGTTTTGCTCCTAAGGGTGCTTTCCTCGTGCAGTAGTGTGAGGCACAAATCCCTGCTTGTGCTGTGTGGGGCTGGTGACCATCTCCAGCGGCTGGGAACTGGGGGACTCCTTGGTGGAGGCCTGAGCTGGCAGGGTCAGCACAGGGCGGTGGGAAGAGACCTGGCAGGTAGGTTGGAGGTGCAGTGACTGATTTGGGCCAGAGCTGGCTGCTCCTGTTGGCAGCAGTCACTGGCAGCGCAAAGGAGAGCCTTCGCTGCTTAGGTGAGCTCTAACCCTGAGTTTCAAACGCATCCTGTCCGGATCCACGGCCAATTAGGGAAAAGATAAATGGAGACAAGACTCCCGCTGCCGCCAGCAGCTCCGGCTCATGTCCCAGTCCCCACGTCTCCATCCCCCTCTCTGGTGCTTTCGGTGGTGCTCGTGCCTCTCTCGAGCTATACAGACTACCCCGACACCCTGTCGCCGTTGAATTAGTTGCACAGCTTGATGCCAACCGCCGGGATTTTTTCAGTGGTAACTCCCATGCCGGCTATCGCTCGGCTGCAGGCAGCCCTTCCAGTCAGTGCACCAGCCCCTTCCTTGCTGTTACGAGGTGTGCTGCGGATATTCAGGCCCAAAAACGCCGCCTTCCCTTAACCCAACAACCCCGCGGGGCCCTGAAGTCTCACTTGAGCTGGCTCAGCTCCTCGCTTTCCAAACTTAGAATTCCTGACGGGATGGGGGAAGATGGGTTTGTGGTTACCAGAGGGGACCGGGAAATTAAGCGGTCTGTCCGGGAAGGCAGCTCTGCCACAGATGGCCCTCTGACCTTCAGCAGAACAATTAGCGTAGATGAGGCAACACCAATGCTGCGGAGGCAGGGGCCACATTTGTAGCTTAAAATGCTCTGTGGTTTTTATTTTCCCCTCCGCGGTAGAGGGAAATAAGTGCTAGAATAACCCACGAGGAGGCAGAGCCTGGAAAAAAAGCCTCCCAGTTTCCCGGACCTGTGCAGGAAAACATCCTCCTCCACCCCGCAGGCCTGCGGAGGGCCGTGGGCAGCGCCATGCAGGGTGCCATGTCCTCACCTGCCCCCCCGTCCCCGTCCCCGTCCCCTCCCTGAGGGACCGGTGACACGGGGGTGTGTGTGTACGTGTGTGTGTGTTTCCACAGTACTTCAGAGGGGAGGTTCTGGTCAGCCACCTTACCTGTCCCAGGGCACCCCGAGTCCCCTCACAGGGGAGCCTTGCCTCAGGCAGCCATGAGGCACCCGCGCC